GGCTAAAAAAACAAAAAAAAAAAACCCAGCCCCCAAAAGGGTAGAAGTAAAAAAAAAAAAAAAAAAAAAAACCTATTAAAAACAAATGAAGAAAACCTGCAAAAACTAAAAAAAAAGTCTGAAAAAAAATCTGAAGTGATCGCTATTGATTCAGAAGATTCGAATGAAAGTGATTTTAAAGAAATTTCAGAAGCTAATAAACTTGAATATCAAGAGCAATGTTTAGCACTAAAGGAACATGAGTTGGATTTAAGAGAACGTGAAGCAAAGATTCATTTAATTGAATTAGCAAACCTTGAAAAAGAACAAAAATTGAAATCTGCAAATTAAATGCCTGAGAATATTTATCAAAAAAAAAAAAAAACCAAAAAAAAAAAAATTGCAAATTAAATACAACATTCTATGCCACCAATTCACCTCAAGATATTCTGAATAAGCTAATCAGAATATTAGATTTTAGTTGTTCAAAAAACTATTCACCATTCTCAAATAAAAATCAAATACAATTGTATGTAAAAAAAAACTGTTACTTTGTAATGTTAAATGTATGCATAATCCCATAAAAATCTTGGTATTTGTAAAGAAATATATACAATCCCGTTCAAAACTTGTTTTGTGAATAGTGCATACGTTTTCGTAAAAATCTTGATTTTTGGTGAAACACTTGAAATACTAAATTTTATCATAATGATAATAAATAACTTTAGAATTTTTGTGAAGTCACAAATTATTTACGACTATACTATTGTACATATATAATATATATGATGAGTATAGTATGCTATATAGTTTTATGTACTCAAATGCGATTTTGGCAGTATACTCCACTACTTTACTAAACTATACTCTACTCCTATTCGTAATACCGATAATAAAAATATATAAGAGTAAATGTGGATTTTAATAGGATTCATATTTTCAAATCAAAATGCCAAATTTTAGCATCATCTATCTTAGCATTATCATTATTTATTATCACATTAACACAGTAAATAATTTCTTCATATTGTTAACTATTTTAAACAAAAAAGTTCTAATTTTTTATCATTCATATTAAAATCTAATGGCTCTATTTTGGTAATCGTGTTTATATAAAACTTGCACTTGGCCATTAATAATATATAATAATGCCTAATACTACAGTGATAGTAAAAAAAGATCCAGAAAAGTAATGTGCAACAATTTTTTTCTGCATTTAAGAATGACTAAATTATTCTTTATTTTGGTTTAAACAAATGCTGAAAATTGCAAGAATGCCGAAAGAACAATTATTTCCAGATCTTTCTTTTTGAATATTATCAGTTACATCGCTCTAAAAAATCATGTTTTTGTCTCATAATGTAGATCGTATTTGCTTGTTTGATCAACAACAATGAGCTCTAAATGATAATCTCTTCTAATTAGCAGTTTTAACTTAGCATTGGACCTAAAAGTTTATAAATTTGCTAGACACCATACAAAAATAATTTTCTTAAATTACATAAAATTAGTTTTATGATAAATATATAAATTCTGGGTCTATTCTAGAAATGTCTTTCTGGTTTCATACTGATAGAAATCTCTAATATAAAGATAAATTATTCTATTAGTATTTCTATTTTTACTGATTTTTATCAATTGAATTTGTATTATTTCGGGAAGGAATGAAGGTTTTGAAAGTTGACACATTAATTTTTAAATTCTAATATAGATAATGGATTAGTATATAGCCATTACATTTACAAGTCATTCTTATATTTTGTAAGTTATCAATAGATTTAAATTCAATATAGTTTTATAATGCCTTATGATTTAACTGATTTAAAAGTTAATGAACTTGAAATCATCTGAACA